ATATTGAAATTATGCAGATATGATATTGAAATTATGCAGATATGATATTGAAATTATGCAGACATGATATTGAAATTATGCAGATATGATATTGAAATTATGCAAATATGATATTGAAATTATGCAGATATGATATTGAAATTATGCAGATATGATATTGAAATTATGCAGATATGATATTTCAATTATGCAAATATGATATTGAAATGATAAAGACATGATATTGCAATTATGCAAACACGATATTGAAATTATGCAGATATAATATTGAAATAATGCATACATGCCTGAAATGATATAGACATATCAGGAGTAAGTAATCTACTCTTCTGAACTCCTTTATATCAGGAGTAAGTAACCTACTCTTCTGAACTCCTTTATATCAGGAGTAAGTAACAACATACTCTTATAGTCTTCTTTATATAAGGAGTAAGTAACCCACTCTTCTGAACTCCTTTATATCAGGAGTAAGAAACCTACTCTTATAATCACCTTTATATCAGGAGTAAGTAACCCTACTCTTCTGAACTCTTTAAATTCAGGAGTAAGTAACCTACTCTTCTGAACTCCTTTATATCAGGAGTAAGTAACCTACTCTTCTGAACTCCTTTATACCAGGAGTAAGTAACCCTACTCTTCTGAGCTCTTTAAATTCAGGAGTAAGTAACCTACTCTTTTGAACTTCTTTAGATCAGGAGTAAGTAACCTACTCTTATGATCTCCAAAAGACCAAAAGACTAGAATAAATACTTTCCTACTCTCCTATTCTACCTAGAGTAAAGGTAACTTACTAAATGCAATACTCGGAGCATTTTCTGCTGTAAACCTGGTGTAAATAACCTACTATTATACTTTCATGGAGCATATCAATTCTCTCCTACTCTTCTTTACACCCGGAGAACCTTATATACCTGAGTGAGGATGGCTGAAGCTGCAGAACGAAGCAAGAATTGTTCTGAACCGAAAATCCTGAAAACATATATTTAATATTGCTATTTAAGTCTCCGTGTTTCTTCATAGAATATTTAATATTTTGATTCAGTGATCTAATACTAAGCCTTATGTTTATATTATTTACTAAAATATATCTTACAGTTCCTTACATGAATTAAATGAGCCAGGATGTTTAAGAAAAATATCTTTCTCAAAATTCTCTTAAGTGAAATGGGGATATCTATGTACACTGCACAATTGCTGTGAGTCCAATAGTTGTCTTTCTTTATTCCAAAGTATATATATATATATATATATATATATATACTAGACAGGGTTACCCACAAAGGATGAGACTGTAAAGACGACCTAAAACTCTCAAAATATGATGAGTTCTAAGTTTAATTAAGTTGTATTTCTTGAATAAAGTCTATTTCGGACTTATCTGATGATTGGGCAAAGAAAAAAACAATTTGTAAGTTTTATGGAATCGTTAATGTAAAAAAACATTTGGTATAAATTTTGTACAATCGTTTCTCTTCCTTTGTGGGTAACCCTGTATATAAACATAAACTATATCTATATATATAGTCCTGTTTACCTTGTATGAATATATAAGTATATTAGCTGCAGAAGAGAAGGTTAGGAGTAGATGACTAACTTTTATGACAAGGTTTCCCCAACCAGGAGGAGACTGTATTCATTCAATCATATTATTCAGATAATTTTTATAATCAAATTTCTTACAATGGAGGAAAGTGCAAGAAAGATACATTTATATCATAAATCTCTCTGGAAAGTTATAATTTCTTTAACGTACTGTCGCTTTGCCGTTTTCAGTCACTAAGTATACTGTTCAACTTGTGCTATCTGCCTTAAAGTCGGCCCGGTATACTCCATTTCATGATGACGATCTTTATATTATTGCTATGAATACGCTGGCCGAAGTAAAACACATTTAGAAAAATACAACTAGTCTAAAAGTCGTCTGCAAATAAGTTTAAAAAATGTTAATAAAATATCAAGATAAAAATACCAGTTTATAAATCTTCCTTTAACAATTGCTTATCCTATAACCCCCTATTAACGAACAAAGCTTCCTTTGAATGATAAAAATAGTAATAATCAAATAGATTCTGGTACAATAGATGTCAACGTAAACTTTGTAAACTCTCAGTACAGCTGTATTCTGACGTCACAAGTGTCAGTTCAGTTTTTGTGTCTGACAAAATTATTTTAGACTACTGAAGAAAAGCGATTTAAAATCGTATATTTTCATGCTCAGACCGGTTTATGAATCAGTTGATGGGTTAGCATTATTGCTCATTTCTGATCCTCATTCTACATTGTTAGTTAGTTTACAAACTCTGCATGTTCTCAGTTAAACTGTTCTTTTCTAATTACGACAAATTGTGATTTGAAGATTAAAGATGTTTTCTATTTTACAAATTATTTGTAAAACGTATAAAATGTCTAGCTTGGAAAGAAAAGAGTGTATTTAAAAAATATCACTTACAAAACACAATTTTACTTTCAACTCGAGTGAAATTTAAGTATCCTAGGATATCTAAGATCTTCATAGTACAGGGAGGGAAGGAGATAGAGGAAGGAAGGGAGGGAAGGATGAAGTCAGAGATTTTGTGGGAGTGCCATCCAACTTTTTTACCCGATTAGGCGACATTTTGTTATGATTTTTTAATTTAGAGTGTAGTATAGCGTAAGGGTGAATGTATTTGACAAGTAACTTAAGACAGTTGCATAAATAGATACGAGTATTACTGAACAGAATTAAATATAGTCTAATAATATCAAATCCTTTAAACTTATCCTTATCAGATACATTTATCAATATACAGATCTTGTAACATGTTTTCTGACAAGATTCATATTCTTGATTGCTTAAGGTTTTAATTTAAGGTTTTCAATTAATTTTTAACCATAAACCAACAAGAAGCTTGAGTAAAAAACACAAAAAACACAGTAGAAAACATATTGTCCTATTTAAAATTGAATTAAAATTTAAACCTTGGTCTGGACAACGATGAGGTAGATACTCTCATTTGTTATAGCTGCAGAATGAAGATTTCAAGATTGAGTGCGTTTAAAGATTCGAGGTTACATTGTACACTCGTACGGTTCCTTGGCACTAAATTTCCGTCATACAGGGTGTACCAATAAACATGGGAATTCAGTGACGAATTCGATATCGTCTTTTTAAATAATTCTTTGATTTAGTATATTGATACTTACTGAGAAAGCTTTAATCTGTAAAATTTTCGTCTGCTATGTTCTCATTTTGTTTGTTTATGTTTTGACTGCATACGGTTGTACTTTGTAAAACAAGAGTAAACTTGTCCGTCTTCAATGTTCATTTTGTGGAGACATTATAGACACATCTTTACAGTCTTTTACCGTTTTCATTAAATAAACTCTAGCAGACATAATAATACTATGGCTTTTGAAATTAGGTATTACAATGCTAATTCATAACAAAGACGATATCGAATTCGTCACTGAATTCCCATGTTTTTTGGGACACCCTGAATGAATAAGAATATATACGAAATCCTTGATCAAACAGAGTTTTAAAGGGTATCTTTCTAATCGGACATGCCACTCTATAAATGGAAGGTCCCTTGAAATAACGCTTACAGTCCCTTTAAAGGGGACAAGAAAAAAAAGGTTATTTCCTCTTGCAAATATGTTGTAGCAATTCAATTCATATTATCACACAATCAATATCTATTCGAGACATGGATAACTTTCAATGTATTTTGTTTTCACTTTAAATCCATTGATAAACATATACAAGTGTCAGAACAATGCTTTTGATGTCTAACATTGTATTAAAATGGTCAAAACACCTTAGGGAGGCTTTGCTGGGATAAGAGGCACTTATTTGCCGCAAACAAAAACCTTTTATCCCAGGAATTGTGGAATTGAGATAAAAATGCAAAATAAAAAATCTCTTAAAATTGAATAAAGTTTGATTGATGAACAAAAAATAAACTTACTCTGCATTAATGGTGAAGACGACCTATTATAACTATTTTTTGTTGAACAATTGTAATATATATTTTTCTATGATTAATGAACCTGAAAGTCTCCGTAAACCAATGTCTGAAATTTAAAAATAAGATTTTATTAAATTCTTTGAGATCCGTGTAGAAGATACAGAGGAAGAAATGAGGTAAATGTGTGAAAAAATATATTTTCTAAATTTGAAAGAGCATAATATTTTTGTTAAATTTGAAGTAAAGGAAAATAAGTTTCATCTTATTTGATAAGAACAAAAGAGTGAAAAGATAACCTTGAATATCCAAAACATTATGTATAACATAAAAATCTTTGCTCATATATCTAACATCTATGTATATAATAATTCTCTTCTCTCGTATATATATGTATGTTTGTATATTTGTAGCATAGCTGACCAAATGTGACTCGAACAAGAAATGGCTGTGGCTGGACACCCTCCCCTCCTATAGCTAACCAATCGGCCTGACAAATTTTTGAGAGAGCCACTACATGTACCCCGAGAGAGGCATAGGCTAAAAAAAAAGTTTTTTCCATGGGCAACACCGGGCAATTTTTTCTTTAAACTGTTGCTCTTCAAGTTGCAATTTTTTTATTTTAATTTTGGTAGCATACTGAGGACGCATATTGAGGACTCACATTGTTGACGCATATTGAGGACTTACAATGTGGTAGCATACTGAGTTCGCATACTGAGGACTCACATTGTAACGCATATTGAGGACGAAAATTGAGGAATCACATGTTGGACACATAATGAGGACTCACATTGAGGACGCAAATTGAGAACTCACATTATGGACGCATGTACTGAGAACCCATTAAGGACTTACATTGTTGAAGCATATTGAGGACACATAATGAGAACTTACATTGTTGAAGCATAATGAGGACGAATATTGAGGACTCACATGGTGGACTCATAATGAGGACAAAATTTGAGGACTTTCATGGTGGACCTATTAATAAGGACAAATATGGAAGACGCAAATTGAAGACGTACCTTTCAGAGGGCTTACTTAGGACGCATACTTTGGATGCATACTGAGGACGCACATTTTAGGAGGCAGTAGTTAGTTTGGATACAAACTATCAATACTCATACAATATACATATACGTACATTATACATATTAAATTCATACATTTGTACATACTGTTTTATCTATGCATATCTACAATATACAGACATACGTACATTATCCATATTAAATACATACATTTGTACATAATGTTGTATCTTTGCATATCGACAATATACATACATAGTACATACATTATACATATTAAATACTTACATTTGTACATACTGTTGTATCTAAGAATATCTACAATATACATTCATACGTACATTAAACATATTAAATACATACATTTGTACATACTGTTTTATTTATGCATATTTACAATATACATACATACGTACATTATACATATCAAATACATACATTTGTACATACTGTTTTATCTATGCATATTTACAATATACATACATACGTACATTATGCATATCAAATACATACATTTGTACATACTGTTTTATCTATGCATATTTACACTATATATACATACGTACATTATACATATCAAATACATACATTTGTACATACTGATTTATCTATGCATATCTACAATATAGCTATGACAGTTTTTATGTATAAAAGGAACATCTACCTGGTATGATTCAAGCATATTTATTATTGTTTTGGGAGAGTGGCAGATAACCAGGACCACAACTATGCCGGTCAACAGAGCAGACATTGCACCATCCCTCCTAGAAATATCAAAACTGCAATCTCCCTTTAATACAAGCTGAAACATATCTGTGTAAAAGTTTTAAATTTCGCAAAAAAATAGAGATATAAGTTAAATAAATGTTTAGCAAAAAAGTTTAAATGTTTAAGGTACCTCTGGGATTTAGAGATATTATTGTGAATCCTTGTCGCTTGTTTCATATCTCGTACTATCCTGCATTATATACAGAGCTATAGAAGGCAAGAGAAATACAACGCAGGAGACAGGAGACAGGGGACAGGAGACAGGAGACAGGAGACAGGAGACAAAAGACAGGAGGCAGGAGACAAGAGACAGAAGACAGGAGACAGGAGGAGACAAGAGACAGGAGACAGGAGACAGGAGACAGGAGACAGGAGACAGGAGACAAGAGACAAGAGACAAGAGACAAGAGACAAGAGACAAGAGACAAGAGACAAGAGACAAGAGACAAGAGACAAGAGACAAGAGACAAGAGACAGGGAAAAGAAGATAGGAAACAGGAGACAGTACTACCTGTTATTAAGGAATGTGAGGAGGAAGATGGGAAGGATTCCCATACCGCAAGTGTTGTACAGAATGTAAACTGTAGTGTAGGTGGCATTTTTTCTCAGAGGAGTCATTTCATTTACGTATACGCTGGAATAAAATATTAAATGAATTATGAAAAATGTATTGTCTTTATTGTTTGGACACATCTCTGGGAGCTTTGATTAGAAAAGGAATAACTAAAATGAAAATATGGAAAGGTGTAGTTTTTTATATATCCTCAAATTAAAAGTGCCCCCTGTAAATATCGAGATCAAGTGATTTAGTTTATGAATATCCTACACAAAAGTTTCCAGCTCTGATAAAATCACTACCTGTGGTTCCCGGCCTCTGTTTCTACAAGTTTACTGATGGTTGTGAGCTCGAAGAACTTGTTGATGTTGTACACGAAGGAGAAGATGATGATTATCATGATGTACGGTAACCCCTTACATTCACCCATCTTAACATAAATGTCAAACAGTACAGAACAGAATACATTTATCAATTTAGTTTTAAGTTTGTAAAAACACACACTTTTTATTTATATTGGAGTTTACAAAGATTTCCCCGTTTAATAACACTTTATTCTCAATAATAAATAATGTCTGAATTGAGACATATTATATTATACGATGTCAAAATTAAATTAATAAAAATCTTTAAGCTTTAAATTAATTAAGTATTGAGTGTTGGAAGAAAATTTGGGTCTGTCCTAGTATACGATTTTTGGACCCCCCCCTGCCTATCAATTTTGTACATGACCACTTTTTTAACAATTTTCAATTAAA